GAAAATTATTACTCACTGGTTGGGAATGAAGGTACATCCAGATGATGAGCCCAAAATGGTACGAAATGCCCACTCTGGATTCCATTGCTGCTATTTGTCACCATTTCACCAAATTATGTCATAGTTTAAAACTGCCTAGACTAAACAATGACTACTGGAATCATCAAATGGCTAGCTAGAGTAGACGATAAGATGTATAAAAGTGCTTTTTAGAAGAAAGAAACTGATTACATATATTCTAGAAACAATGTTAGTGGTACAGCTGACAATGTATCTACGCATAACCTTATTTCTGACGTATTTCGAGAGAAAATTCTCATCACAGGTTTAGAAATAAAAGAAAATAAAAATACTTCGATGTTTCAATGGTAGCAGAGAAAGTATTATAAAATTAAAGCATCCGAAATGTAAGCACTACAATTTTTAGTTTAAGTTGCCATCAGTAAGTTGCCATCAGTTTATATGCTTTCAAAGCAGATTAGCAGAAGGAAGGGGGCGGATAAGATGGGAAACAGATAAATCTAATAAATAGTGTTAGCTTATAAGCATGGATTAGTGAGGACACTGTACAACAGAGCCTGGAAGCTATGTTCGCCTAACAAGGTGGAAGAAGAATTAGGCTTTTCTGAGAAATGCCTAATGGAAAATGGGTATCCGAAAGGATTTATCTAAAAGTATAGCAAAGAAAAAGATGAGTAAACGAAACACCCAATTGTTGGAAAAAAGGTGTTTATTTGTCTCCCATTCAAAGGAGAGGCAGTATCACAAAAGATTGAAAAGAGAATTAAGTCGAAAGAAAAAGATGCTTCCCTACAGCTAAGCTTGTAACACTATACAGCACCACATACTCGATAAGCCAATAACAACTGATTGAGTGGCCTGCTAATGTCATATCTAACCGTGTGTACAAATTTACGTAAGTACACTGCAAAGACAAGGAGGAGGACTTCTGTCAGTTTTTCTCAGCATATCCCAAGAAACTACACAACTCATTCCTGGAGAAAATAAACTATGTATCTCCCAGAATTCAGTTAACTTCGGAAGCAGAATCAGACGTCGGTGAAATACCATTTCTAGACTGCCTAGTTAAGAGAAGGGAAAACGGACATTTTAGTATATTCATATTCAGGAAGAAAACCCACTCCAATAAATATTTAGACTTCAAATCATCACACCCCATCAGCGCAAAGATTTTAGTTGTTTCAAGTCTTTTTAGACGAGCACACTCTCTGATAACAGATGAGAAAGAAAAAGAAGAAGAAATATCAAACATTACTGAAACTCTCAAGCAGAAAAACTCCCCAACAAAATCAACACAGATATTAGGTATGGCCGAAAATGCATTCAAAAAACATGGACCTCAACAGTTGTCGTTCCATATGGAGCAGAGACGTCAGACGATATCAGAAGAGTACTCATTCAGCTCGACATTAGAGTTTTCTTCAAAACATCAGACACACTACGAAACAACCTTGTCCATATAAAAGACCAAATCCCTAAAGATTCTCTATCTGATTGTGTCTATAAAATAAAATGCTTGGAATGTGATGCGATATACATCGGACAAACATCTCGAGAAATCAAAATCAGAAGAAATGAACACCGTAGAGCATCTCTTCGACCACCGAGAAACCCCGTCGAACTACAAAAACTTGAAAAATCATCAGCCATAGATCTACACGCCATAGAATCAGGCCACAAATTTGATTTTGACAATGCTGAAATAATCCAGAAAAAGCATTTCAGAAATCACAAAGAACGTCTAACATCATCAGAAGTACTTCATATCAAATGGAATCCAAATTGTCTGAATAGGAATGATGGACTAATACAGAATTTGACCTGGTTACAACACCTCCCTCCCCCATGAAGTGACAAAATCAACACGAATGTGATATGCAAGTTCACTATGTAAACACACACTGCTTTTATAATGTTACACACTGATCAAATCCAACAATCTACACTTGGTTTTGTTATCTTTTCCAATTAACCAACTTGACAACGAAATATGACCCCAGACTGACGAACGATGATCAAGTTAGTAAACTTTGTTTCGATATCATAACAGATGTACTATTACCTTTGTTATTTGGTTTAGTGATCTTCAATGGTGTTTTAACTTTCAATATGTCCTTTTAATTTGACCTAAGTCTATTTTCACACCCCTTAACTCTTTGTTACATATAGGCTGAGATTTTGTAAATTCTGGCTTAATAATACTTTGATAAAACTATTAGCATTAAATAGCGAAAAGTCAGTAAAAACAATATCGTTTTGTTTTTCATTCATTGGGAAATACAAAAACCTTTATTATAATATTGTATTTCTCAAGTATTGGTTTTGTAGGGATTTTGTTTGATTGGATGGAGGATTTCATCATGAGCTGACATCCTCCATCTAATCAAACAAAATCCCTTTGTTATGATAAACTTATGCATACAGAAAGGGAGTGTAGTCAATCTCTCACTCCCTTGGTAACTGCATTTTGATTACATTGATTAGTTATTCACATTAGTGATTTCAACTCACAGAACAAGTTTCAGTCTTATGAACTATTATCTTCTTGAGTTGCTATGTGAACTTATAAGCTAACAGTATTTATTAGACTTTCCCGCTTTCTGTCTTCTCCTACCTGTCCTTCGTTTTCCACTTTGAAGGGCGTATAAATTGACGGTAACTTAAACCACAAATTGTGTAATGCTTACTGTTTGGATACGCTGATTTTATCATGTTTTCTCTACTCCCATTCAAACAATGAAGTATGTTATTGTCATCATTGATAACCATTGTGATTTCAGGTTAGTTAACTGATGAGAATCTGTGAAATAGAATGATGGTATCATTTTATACTGAAAATCTGATCTCTCCTGCTTTATCGAAATTTATCAACAAAGCCAATTGTATGAAAACAAAAAACAGACATACTCATGAAAAAGAATAGGTAGTTAAAACAACGTCGTATACAACAATGGCCACTCTTGAGTGCAAAGGAATAAACGAAACCTGCTCAAAAATGAAGGCTTCTAAAAGTGAAATCTAAAGTGAATGTGATACAAGAGGAGTTTGATAATTAGAGAATTTTAACTCGATTCATATTAGACAGAAAAGTACAAGAAACTCAGCAAATAGATATCTTTCGGACAATTTCATTCTCAAAAGCTGCACAATCGAACTTTTAGACATAAATTTACATAATTACAGGATCTCATCATGAACTGACATCGGTTACAGAACCACTGGAAAACCAACTGGGAGTACTGGATAGCTGTTTCGTCCTAGTTTGGGACTCTTCACAGTACGTACCCACCGCAAGAGGTTCGAACCCAGGACCTTCTGGTTACAAGGCGAGCAAGCTTGTAGACCATTAAGCCACTGGGACCCGATCCAATGGGCAGTTCAGGAATTCTAACTTCTGCCAATTCATGACACAGTGCGACCACTAGCAAATGTCTACAGCAAGTGTTCATCCTCACACCCGACCTGCTGTACCCTACTGGTCACGAGTTCCCAATAGAACCCCAGGTAACCAATCAATCAGATCTCTACAAACCAATATTTGAATGTCACTAATTAGTTGAACATAGTAAAGTAGGGAGATTAAATGTGATAATAATTTTCGACTTCATATGAAAGCTTGAAGGTTAAAATATAGATTACAGTGGTCATAGAAACGAAATCCCAAAGGAGTAGAAAATAATTGCATGTGACCACTGAAAGGTACATACATCAGTTCACCTACTTCGGTCGAGCTAGTTGTATGGGTCGTTTTATGTTTCAGACAACACTACGCAGCATGACTACAAAGAGTCGGCACTGGTTCAATCAGAAGCGCTATAAGTGAACACTTCCTCAGCACCTGTCACAACATCTCAACTAACTCATCATTCAGAGTCGTTTACAAGTTGACAAAAATCTACCAAATGCAGTGTGTTTCCAACTTTTCTGAACTTCAGAAGCTTAACTTTTATGCATCAAAAGCCAGAGCTATTTGTTCAGACGAAACTAGTCCAACTTCTGCATTTACCATGGATTTAGTTCTGTTTGACTCCTTAGTTTTCTATTTTTAGTTAAAAAACTATTATTTAAATTTGTTTCTTCGAACATCCCCTTCACACATGTCTTCGTTAGGAACTATTTCGCCTGTGACGCCATGTGATTCTGTTTCTATGCTCATTGTGATCTATATTCACACCTTCAGACTTTCATATGAAGTTAAAAAGTGTTACCACCTTCGATCTCCTTTTGTAACTATGTTGAATTACTCGCCGGTGACATCAGCTAGTTGTCATGATAAAATATCCAACTGGTAGAAGTTGGAATTCATGGGCTATTGAATCGGTTCCCAGTGGCTGAATGGTCTTTGAGCTTGCCTGGTAACCGGTAGGTCATGGGTTTGAAGTCCAATGGATGCATACTGCCAATGGGTTCCAAACAGTAAAGACAGATGTCCAGTCCTCCCCACTGGCTTTCAGTGGTTCTCCGACTGATATCAGTCTGTGGTCAAACCCGAATTAAATAATAACTGTAACTATGTAAACTTATGCATAAAAGTTCGATTGTGCAGCTTTTGAGAATGAAATCGCCGAAGGGATAAACATTTGCTGAGTTTCTTGCACTTTTCTGTCGAATTTCCTGATGGGTATTTCCCATGATTTCGGTTCATATTATCTAAGCAGGTATTAAAGCGCTGTTTTATATAACTTAATCTCAGTATCACAGCTTTACAATGATAAAGAGAAAACTTAACGTCTGTAGATAATAACAGTAATATACACATATTCGATTCTTGTAATATTTAATACTTGCAGTGAATTATACATATGTCAGTTTACAAATAAACTTGAATGAAGCATGAATCATATTTGAGTATATTTATGCCGGTAAGTTCAAAAGATATCGCATGATGAGATGAAGGCAATTTTCTGTGACTCGACTTGTGATAACATCATCTATTACATCACCAATCACTGCAAGTAGTTATTCATAATTAGACTTACCAAGATTTTTAGTTATAAGATACAGTTGGTCTAGATCTGAAGAACCTGGCCATAACGGGCAACCAAGTAGCATTTCTGCAAATACACATCCTATCGCCCAAACATCAACTGGTGGACCATACTGTGTGTCGCCAACTAGAAGTTCCGGGGAGCGATACCAACGTGTTGCTACATAGTCTGTATATTCACCGCCTGGATCTGTTGTGCAAAAAGAAGAATTCACGTCATTCGTAGAGAATCATAATAAATATTAGAAAAAACTCAAAATGGGTGTACTGGTTGGAATAGGGCCGTCTACTATTACCGGTGATTTTGTTGATTATAATGGATTGGATCATGCAACAAACCATAAGGACAGAGAAGAAAGGAATACTTCGGACCATAAAGAAGACTTTAGAAGATCTGAACTTCTCTAACGATTTATGTCTAATGTCACAAAAACTTGGAAATCTACATGCGAAAGGCAAAAACTAGACTTCCAGTAAACACAAAAAGTTGGATATGGACAAATCTGGAAGAGATCACTTCTTTTCCTTATCTGGACAGCATTATTTCAACTACGGACGGCACAGATTAGGATGCCAAAGCTGGTCAGGATCAGAAGGACCAGACAGACCTTCATTAATCTGAAATCACTGCAGAAATCCACAGCACTCAGCATAAAGAACATCCTAAGTTTCAACATTAATATCAAGTCAGTCAATGCTTCTGCATGATTCAGACACTTGGCATGTGAATCACGAAGAGTGTTTCCAATAGACCACTGGAGACATTTGTCAACAGCTGTCTTCGTTGGCTCCATACTGGTTAGCAACAACGAACTCTGGCTGGAAACTGACCAATCAAGAACCCATTGCCTAACAAGTATGCAGAAGAAAATGGAGATGGATTGTGCGCATGTGCCTGACTCTCGAGTGAGACTGAAAGGACAAAGGATGAGTGAGAATGTTAAATGAAGGAAACCACGTGAGGAGGGAGTGAAAGCTTCTGGGAAATCTTGCAGCCAGCTGAAGAGAATTGCAGAGAATAGGACGAAGCAGAGATGTGTTATTGAATCCCTGTGTTTCAGGATTTCATCATGAGCTGAAATCAGTCGAATAACCATTGGAAACCTGGGAGTACTGGACAACTGTTTCGTCCTAGTTGAGGACTCTTCACCGGTGTGCACCAAATGAGGCTCGAACCCAGAACCTTCTGTTTACAAGACGAGCTGTTAGACCATTAAGCCACTTCGACCTGACCCAGTGGAGCATGAATACCAACTTCTACCAATTCACGATATAGCGTGACCACTAGCCAATGTCATCGCTGGTGAGTATTAGTCCTCACACCCAACCTGGTATACTCCAATGGTCATGACTTCTCACTGGTCCCAATGAAACATCTGATTACTAGTGACAGATAGGTAGGTTCCTGAATAAGACCTGTCGCTAGTAAAGCATCAGATGTTTCATTCGGAACCCAATGGAATAAAACTAATACTGGTTAAGTGACCAAATGATAATTAAAATAACCTCTTGAAAGCAATTTCAACAAATAACACTATTATAAAATAAAATTTATCCTTCAACTTACTTAAAAATCTTGCAAATCCAAAATCACAGAGTTTCACTTCATTAGCCTTGTTAATCAATATATTTTCAGGTTTAATATCACGATGTATACACTATAAGTGAGTTTTAAATAAATCAAAGAACAGAAAGCAATACATAAATAAATAGGCAGGCTAAAAATAGTACACATTAATCATTAGTTAATGACTTCAATTAAACTATTTTTAGTTTCTATTTCTAAGAATAGTTTCAATAGTACATTGTTTTTTTGTTTGTTTGCATTTTCCTACTTTTTGTGATTATAAATAGTGTCAACCGGAAATGGTCACCTAATTTTCTTCCAGGAACCTGAGCTATCTAACATAAATCAGTAATAGACAAGTTGAAATTGAATAAGTATGGGTAATTACTGGAAGTCAGAGTTAGAAACCTTACAGTACAGTAGATAATTGCCTACTGTTAGGCTTTCAGTTAACGAAAATACACAATTTTTAGCAGTAGTAGCAATATAAGACTGTATTTTTAGCGAAGGATGTACAGCTGAGATTTTTGCTTGGAAGTCGAAGGATATCAAATAGAGAACTTTTGTATACTGATAAAGTAGAGCAAATTAATAATATAGATGAATAAATATGACTACATTTCAAAAGCGATATATATATTCAAGTGAAATGATAACCAGCAAGTTGAGAAAATCCATTCAAAGAAGCTTTAATATTAGTAAACTGCAACTTATATTTTCCACACAACCGATTGTGATTCCAAAGCTGAAAGACGAAGTACCTATCTGGGATAGCCACCTCTAACTGTATCCATCAATTCAACTGTTCCTGTGGAAACAGTTATATTGGCCGTTGCTTTTATAGTTTACTTTTTTCCTTTGCGCTCCCACTAGAACATAGGGCTTAAAGCTACAGCTTTGAAGTTTCGGTAGCAGTGGTTTCATTTCTGTGGGGTGGGACTGATAGTCTCGCGCCCAGCCTTACCTCTTTGCCGAGCTTATTATTAGCTAAGAGAGGTTTTCGGGGTGCGTCGGCCTGGGATCGAACCCCGGAACACCTGCGTGGCTGCCGAGCATTTCACCTCTGCAGCATCAACGCGCAGAGACCTAGGTTTTGTGCTAGTTGGCACTCACCAATCAGTAAGGCGTATCTGCAATCTTGAAGGAACTCATGTCCCTTCTGAGATTCGAACTCGAGTCACCCAGTGCTGCAGTTAGAGACGTTACCACTGAGCCATTAGGGCTCAGACACTGTTCTAGGAACTTAATATTTCCTGCTTGAGAACCCCTACCTTCCAGTAAGGCCAATTAAAGGTGTAGTTAAAACCATCAGTGGTTCGATACAAGAACACCTCTTACAAACAGACCATTAAATTAACATTGAGGAATATTCTCCTACCATCCATTGGGTACAAAATAAATTACCGAAGACCCTAGGTAACGAGTACTACAGGCAGCAGAGCACATTATAATTCTCCTAAGAAAACTGGATCTCTATATGCGAAACAGAGGTTTAGCCACTATTGATAACCCTGACCTGCTGTCTAACCCAACTCACAGATTCTGTGTTACTTCTCTTAATCATTCATTGTAGTGTTATATCAACGCATATAATCCCTTAGAGATGACTTTGAATTGTAATCTATCGGTATTATCGATTCAATGTAATTCAAATCATTAATGCTGATAATAACAATAATCCTTTAACTATTATAGTTATGTAATTGTAGAACCTGGTGAAGAAGTTATCGAAAAGAGTATTCTTTGTACGTTAATCAGTCTTTTAGATTAAGTCTGCTGTACAGATAATCGCTCATCAATAGCACTGGGGGCCATATACATTTGGAGATTTTAAACCAGGTTTACGGGTGGGTGACTAGGGATCTGACGATGCAGTACCTAAGTGCATTAAGGTCCTCTTCACCAAATAGTTTGTAAATGAGATAAAATGGCTTTTCCACGATTCTTATTTTAAAATCTTACTCCAGTTAATGTTACTTTGAGAGGAAGTGAAGTTTGAAAATGCATTGTGAAGAGACTCCGACTTCCCGAAGGACCTGATTACTAAATATTGTCTGAAAGTTCTACATAGACGTCAACAGAGGTCAAGTGTTTCTTCTTTCAAAATTTATCTCAACCAGCATACATTGGAATTATAATAAGAAAATATCACCTAAGTTGCTTTTTCAAGTAAAAACTTTCTGCTTTTTATGTGACGAATATTAGAAATTTAAGGATTATTAGACATTTCAACGTTAAATTCAAAAACTCGAAAGTCGAACTGACTAAATGCATTGGTTTCTATACTGACTTTAGTGATGCTGGTAGTTTGATATGATATTTAATCATGTCACTAATGAAATTAAAAGCTAATAATTGGGTGATAGAAAGAAATTTTGTCTTACCATTTCGTCTGATGTTTTCTCAACATGGTAATAATTGATGCGATTTTAACTGTTTAAGCTATCCGTTTACATAATTTACTTTGTTGTTAGATGGTTAGAGGCAGTTGGAAGGAAGCTTAGCCTGACTTGTATTTTGTGCCTGTTGACACTCACCAGTCAGTCAGCAAAGCGTATCTGCAATCTTAAAAGAACGTATGTCCCTCCTGAGATTTGAACCCTGGTCACCCAATCATGTACTTAAAGATGTTACTCATTAGCTATTGGGGCTGTAGGATACTAGGTTATGTGTCATGTGTCATTTTTTCGTGCAGACTGAATTCTATCAGTTAAGTCTGCAATGTGGCCACCATGTTAGATGACTCACCGTCATGGTGCCCTCTGAAATGTTGTTAGATAATAATAATAATGATAATAATGAGTAAGAACATAGTTACACGCCTAAATGCCTTATCATTGAACCTAGTATACAACCAAAGTATCCATCACTGTCCTGCAGGAGGTCAACCACGAATCGGAATAGCTCACTGGTAACGTCTCTCATTGCAGCACTGGGTGATACTGGTTCGAATCTCACAGGGAAGATGAGTTCCTTCAACACTGCAGATACGCTTTGCTGACTAGTAATTGCCGGCAAGCACGAAACTTAGATCCGAGGTTTCTTTCCGATTGCCTTCAACCATGTAACAACAACAATTCATAGTGCACCATGATGGCGAACCACCTTGAATGGTAGCCACATTGCGAAATTGACTGATAGAATTCAGTCTGCATGTATACCAAAGTCCTGACGCATAATACTATAGACCGGCCACCTAGTATTCAATGGAAAAAACACAAAACATATTGCAAACTTGATACTACCGCATAAATCACAGTGTTCATGTGACTGTTTAATGTCAGGTGATAAAATAAATTATCGCTAAAGAATAACGTATTCCTTTAAAAACACTAAGAAGCTGAAATATACAAACACTCACATTTGACTGATGACAGAAATCCGTTGCCAGAAGAATTTGCCAAGTAATCTTCCGAATTTTTCCTTTGTCTAACCTGAAATCATAAAAAATCATAATTATCTTTCACAGAATATTTTTTCTAACCTCATAACTATATTTAGGTCAAACGTTATGATGGAAAGTAACACATTAGGTCAAATACGATACTGGTTCAGTGTCAGTTATAGATACTCAACTGTGTCAAGGAAATCACTCAGTTACCGATTACCAAAATATTAAGTACCCATAAATTAGAAATACAAGATACTGCCTCACAGTTATCAATTTCTAAATTGTATTAGCGCACAAAAGCAGTCATGTACCAGCTTGTTCGATGCTGTTTAAAGTTACAGTCTTCAAATATATAAGTATTCAGGGTATATTATATTTATTACTACTCCATCGGGTTTCGAGTGGAACATGGCGCTTCAATAACACATCTCAACTTCATCCTAATCACTGCAGTCCTATTCAGCTGGCACCACTACTCCCCATCACCTGTCATCTCCCCAACCCCCCAAACAATCTCCAATATGTCACCAACACAGCCACGCACAACTCATCGTCTCACACTCGGCTTCCACTCTAGGATCTGTCTGGTCACCCATGTCACTCAGCGATCTCCTAAGCATGTGTCAAATCCATCTCCGTTTCCCTTCGAATATTTGATGAGCAATAGGTTCCTCGTTAGTCCGTTGGTTCACAGAATTTCTTGCTGCTAATTGTTTCTGTCTGGCAAGCTGGCCATCTGATATTCAGTATGGAGTCAGTGAAAGTGGTAGCTGTTGATGCAAGTCATCAGTGGTGTGTTGGGAATGCTTTTCTTGACGCTCATTGGAAGTTTCTGACCCATATAGAAGCACAGACTGACTTAATAATGGTGTCGAAATAAGAATCTTGTTGTTTATGCTATATAATGTTGCTTATTCTGTTTACCGACAAAAGGATAAGAAAATCAAAAGATTAGATGCATTCTTATTCAAACCTCGCCTAATTTACTAAACTGGTTTCAATCCCGAATAAATGTGTGAGTTGAGCGTGGGACTAGCTACCCCACCACGAAAAGAAACAAACAAACAGACAACACCATACTGACTAAAACTTTGATCCCCAAGTAATACTTTACATTTATGCATTACTTTTATTCAGCTAAATAAAATGCAATCAGTCTCTTCATCTTGGCCCACACTGTGGAGTTTGAACAAGATAAAAAAGCTTCAAATAATGACTTGATTTTAGTAGTTGGTTTGTAAGGATTAGATTTGTTTATACGAGTTGATCACGGATTGTTATCAGTTAGAGAACCATTGAAAACCGCACTGGAGTACTGGACGGCTGTTTCATCCTAGTCTGGGAATCATCGGCAGTACGCACCCACCACAGGGTTCGAATTCAGGACCTTCGTGACCAGTGAGGTCCATCCAGTCAAGTGTGAGGATGGATGTCCCACCCACACATTGGTTGACGTCGCGCTAAATCACGAATTGGTAGGAGTTAGAATTCATGGGCCAGTGAATTGGGTGAATGGTATACCAGCTTTCCTTGTAACCGGAAAGTCCTGGGTCTGAACCCCAGTGGATGCATACTGCCGATGATTCCGGGACTAGGATGAAACAGCTGTCCAGTACTCCCGTGCTTTATTTTCAATGGTTCTCTAACTGATAACAATCCAAGATCAACTCATAAAGACTTGATTTTAGTTAAATGTTGAACTGTGTGAGGTTTAACTTGTAACATATTGCTTAATAAACTTAAAAGTATTATTATTATGATGAGTAGCATTCCTTGCAGGCTTCTAACTTTTATCAGCTGCTGACTGCTTTGCTGGCTCCATACTGAAGATCAGATGGCCTGCCAGAAAGGATGAATAGCAAAGGACCCTAGGCACGAACCATTCAAGGACCATAGCCAGACAAATATGGAGAAGGGAATGGAGACGGATCACACACACCCTGAGTGGACTGTTGAGTGAAATCAAGCGGCTTGTCATCTCTCAAGTGGAACCCAAGTGGGAAATGACGAGTTGGGCGTGGTTCTGAGGGTGACATTTGGAAAGAGGAGATGAGATCTTATAGTCAACTGTGGAGCCAGCTAAAGAATACTGCAGAAAACACTATGAAGTGGAGATGTGCTGTTGAAGCGTTATGTTCCACTCAGAACCATGTGAATAGTAAAAATGGTACTTTTTCACTGAGACTTGTATAAATCACTGAGCTACTTAAATTTCCATCTAGTATAATGCATTAATTTTTCTTCCATTCATGTTGTTTTAATCATGCAATTATGTCCATGGATTGCAACATTTACTCAAGCATATTTCTAATCAACTTTCAATCGACAACTATGCGCTTCTAGAAAACAATGAAACCAGAATACTATTAGCGTTATAAACTTCCGTCATAACAAAGAATGTTGCGTCACAAGATACACTGTCAATCATTATTTTACTTGAGTATCCTGTAAGGACAGTAAATATTTTGCAATCAAATACACTGAAAATTATGTCCTGTGTGTGTTTGTGTAAACATATTATCCATAAGAAGACTGTTATTATTTTACTACGGAGCCAATTTGTTATTTCCTCTTCCAAATTTACATCATTAATTTACTCTTAAGTAACGAAAACCGTAATTTTTGTATAAAAACATTTACCAGGAATAGTTTTGAGGAAATGCAGACGTAATCATTGTCAACTGTGCTGTTTACGTAGCTGTGTCTGAAGTATAATTCTCAAAAGACTGTTAATAATTATTTGAAAAAAGTCATCTTTCCAGGGTACTGTATTATTATTTATTCCCTTAGGTTCCAAGTGTGACATAGGGCTTCAACAGCACATCCCAATTTCATCCTCTTCTCTGCAGTCCTTTTAGCTGGGTTGGCTGTTGCCTGTAGGCTGTCATTCTTCTCCTCAGAAGATCTTCCACATGTCACTCATGTTATGGACTCATGTTCAGCTCGTCGTTTCCCAATCGAATTACACTTGAGTGATGGCCTGCGCCTGATGTCACTGAACATTCTCCTCAGAGTGAGTTCAGTCTATCACCATTTCCTTCTGCATATTTGTAGGATCATAGGATCTTTTCTAGTTCGTTTCCGGCCAGAGTTCCTTGTTGCTAATTCTGCCTATCTGATATTCATTATTGATTTAATGGAGCTGTTGATAAACGTTTGCAATGGCCAATTGGAAATACTTTTCGTGATTTGCGCGTCAAGTCTCTGAACCATACAGAAGAAGTGACTGACTTGGTAGTGGTTTTGAAAATTAGGACGTTATTCTTTCCGATGAGTGCATCAGATTCTCACACTGATTTCGGATTAGTAAAGGTTTGTCTTACTTTCCTGGTCCCAACTGCCCTGAAATCCTAATCCATGAGACCTGTAGTTGAAACGCTGCCGCCTAGATAAGTGAAGAAAATGGCCGCGTTCAAATTTCTTCCTTTGGAAGTGATTGGTCCTTCTTGATTTTAGTTGCTTGTCTTCATCACCACCGTCTTCCCTATTTTTAACTGATATCATGTCTTCTCTGTCCATTTCTTGTGCCAATTTGTTGGTTCCCACCTGTAAGTCTTCCAATTCGCGTAAAATTAGACATTACTCATCCATGAAGTCCGGTCCTTCCAGTGTCTGCTTGTCGGTCCAGCTAAGTCCGTCTTCCCTCTCCACACGGTCTGTTGCATGATGCAGTCCGCCACAATAAGGAATATTATCTGTGGTAGTAGGCAGGCAGTCTTGCGTTACTCCTGTTTTCCTTAAAAGGCTGAGTTTTTCGCTGTAGATTACTTGGACATAAGTGAGGCTATGGAAACTTGAAGGCCTGGGAAATTATCTTTCCAGCTGGGGACCAATCAAAACTACAGACACTTCTGGTTCTTATTGATCTCCTTTCTTTTATTCAGTATTCTAGTAAATTCTAATAGCTATAGACATTTAGCTGCATTAACACTGTCCCATAGATTAATATCTTTCCAACCTATAACTGAAAGTTTCTAGCTTCATTCTAGGCTAAGTAGAATCACGGAATCTTCAATAGCTGACATGATATATCTCCATGCATTCCAGTTTATTGGTTTAACAAAAAACAAACAAACAAAACTGAATCTGGATATGTTTTAACTCTGTTCAGGATAATTTATTTCATCATTCTGTATAATTAATTAACTAAACTATTGTTTACAATAAACAGAATAACATGAATCCAATAACAATTAGTGAACTATGCGCATGTTTCAGGAAACAAACACAATTGAAATAAGCGTAATAAACAATAGTAGGCATTACATATACGTATGTACATTGAGATAATTAAATAGGGCGTATATTGAATATATAATTTGTTGTGATTTCCACTTAATTTCCTTGATTCAACTAATCATTATTTAAAATCAAACTGACAGATTTATGAAGGCATGATTCAATTCAAGGTTGATCTAATTTATAAACAGATATCACTTAACAGAACTACAAGAAACTGTTGGGAAGCCGTGACCAGTAGGGTACAGCAGGTTAAAGGTGAGGCAGTAACTCATCGAAGAAGACATTGCGAAGTGGTCACGCTGTGTCATGAATTGACAGAAGTTATAATTCATGGACTGGCCATTGGACTGGTTCCCAGTGGCCTAATGGTCTACGAGCTAGCTCACCTTGTAACTAGAGGGTCCTGGTTTCGAATCGTGGCGGTGGGTGTATGCTGCTGAAGAGTCACAAACTAGACTGACGGAACAGCTGTTCAGTACTCCCTATTGGTTTTCCAATAGTTCTTTAACTGATGTCATCTTATGAGGAAATCTTCCAACCAATTAAACAAAACCAATACTTGAAAAATAAGATGAAAAAGTTCAGCGAAGAGTCTCTTTTCGGCGAATTCATTCACTTAGCTCTACATTCGCATTCACATTTAATTATTTTGTGTGTTTCTGTACATTAGGATTGTCGAATAAAGGTAGGTCCGTTACTTGCAGATATTTTAAGGGTAAGTTTGGAAAGCAGTCCGTTGAAAAGGACGAACGACAACTTCTCTACCTTTAAAAGGTCCGTTGATGACACTTTTCTCATCTG